CATGTATAAATGATTGCTCATGTACAGTATTTTTTTGGTACGTAGTGACAATTTTTTTTCAAATTCTGTTTTTACTCAAGTTACCTCTGACATGATGTCATATGCGTTGTTGATATATGTTTCGCTTGTGTTGGTAAAATATTCAACGTGAAAAGGTTTTCTGGTCAACATCAACCATACATTGAAGGAATAACCTATTAAGAAAGTTTTAAACGATGAATTTCACATGTGTGGAATTCAGATTCGGCGTTTTATTTTTGAATCTGAAAGGCGGCGGGCTTTTTAATGTACAAGATCACGTGATAAGATATTGGGAACTACAGTGAAACCTCTCTATACCGGACACGGCTGGGACCGATGAAAAATTCCGGAGTAGAGAGGCTCCGGTATACTGAGGTTAATTTTACAAAAGATGTATGGAAAAATTTCCGGACCAAAGATTTTGTCCGGTTTAGAGAGAATTCCGGTATATTGAGGGTCCGGTATAGAGGGGTTTCACTGTATCAATTCATGTAAAAAAAAAGCTTGTTATTTCGGTAGTTACTGAGAAGAGCATGTGACTGCTAAGACCGTGATTCTCCAGAGCGCATAGAACAGACTTGTATATGCGCTATACAAGTTTTCATTATTATTATTATTATTACCTGGCTCACAGCCGTAAACTTCCATTCGCAGTCCAACATTGCCGTGCCAGCTTAACGGAATCAACATAATCTTCGAAGCTATGACTGGAAGAGGAACTTTATTTTGTCTTACTGAGCTTCTGTCCTTGTTTGCAATGAATATCTGGAATAAGAAGTCAGTCATGATTTATAAATACAATAGTCCGCGTCGTGTAATACAATACAGGGGCAAAGGAATATAATCCTTCTCCAACAACGACTTTTAAAAATGGCAGTAGTTAACGAACGTGGGGACTAGTGACGAATCATKGAAACGAGACCTCCAATGCCTTTACATCTAAAAACCACGAAGATCGTATGTATGGCAGCGTCAAAGTTTTAAAGATGTATTGGTATGTTATTTATGACAAAACACTCTTACAAGACACCATAGACGTTTACTATACGGTGCATGGCTGRCCTTTAAGACCTCGTTTACATGCTCTTGTTCACAGTGTCCTGGTCGGCGTTATTATTTCACACGTTTTTATTAAAAAAAAAGGGCAAACAAATAAACAAAGACAAATCAACAAAATTACTAAATAATGCAAAAATAGCAGCAACAAAAATAATAAATAATAGATAAATAATAATAAAAAACTTACCATTTCTTGTCCTGTTGAGTCTCTTAATGGCTTGAAGTCTGTATTATTACTTTGCAAAGCATAGAATAACTTAAACATCGTCACCCATTCAGACACTCGTGGATCCCCGTAACCTTGAGTACTTATTTCAGTAAGAACGATTTGCCGTCCAAAATCTACTGTAATCCAAGCCGTGCTGGGTTGGTTTGCCCTATAACCAGTCTTAGAATGAAGCCTTCCCAGATGTGCACCATACAATTCCGGGTCATTATCGTAGATATTCATTGACACCATTTGTGAATCGTTGATAAGACCATTTTCTATGCCAATAGGGCTATTACAAGGTTCTAAGAAATAATAGAAAACTGGTGACTGAATATCAGCTTTATTGATAAAGATATAAGACTAAAATATGAGACGCGTAGTTTTTAACAATAATTTTGTCAGCTAAAATGTTTGTTATTTTGTCCAAATGTAAACACCGCAGAGAAAGACCTTTCAAAACAAGCTAAATGGAATATTATAGCGTGCATAAACTGTTTCAAGACTTCATCTTGTAAATTGGACTATTTTCCTGTGGCCTTAGTTTAATGCATCACTTTTTGTGTCATACTGAGTATTATCCAATAAAAGTAAATAACTCGAAAAGAATCCGTATGATAAGAAACGAAATTATCTTTCACCCAGTCAAATCCTTAGAGGAAATTACTGATAGAGTATGTAATGTTGAGCGGGTTTTTGACTGATGTTTTTATCAATTATCTTTGAAAATCGTGTTTGATGCAAAATGGCTGACGAACTTCAAGGTCGCTCAATGAAAAATGTGTTGTGTCGTCACCTTTTCGCTCACACATAATTCGATGAATGAAATTAAAATTTATGGAAACACTTTGGTCGTTACGATGGGCAAGTAACTCCAATAGGGCTTTTAAAACTTATAAATCACAAAACGCTTAAAGGGGTGTTGAAATAATGGACTTTTTGAACACTGTTCTTGGTTGGTCAGTTCGCTCCATAGTATCTTAGATCTGTATGGTTCTGGTATTTTGGTTAAAATTAATTGAAGATGGATATCTTCCCACATGTAGAAATGAGCCACCTAAAAGCTAAAGGTCACAATAACCATTTTCCAAGAATTAAAAACAAGACAACATATGTTTCTCAGGTATATTCAAGGAGATGTTTTCCTTTAAGTAAGGCGGGCGATCCCGAAAACTTCCGTCATAATATCATTAGTGAAAACACCCAAGTATTACCCTTAATTATACCACAACAAATTTGATTTTTTTTTTTCGTTTTCGGTGTTTTTCAGATAAAAAAATATTCTGTATTGCAGGCTACCTATTAAATATTTAAATGAAATTTTGCCGTAAAACCACAAGTTTTCAGCCAGTATTGTTTTGGATAGTTTGTTTGGCACTTAAAATACGCCCTAATGTTCGTCAACAACTGTTTTTGTTTGCAGGAACGTTCTGGACTGAAGATGTATATACTCTCTTAACTCCCTCATTACACCAGATGCGTATGTCGTTAAGAAACGGCCGTTCTCCTTAAAACATGTCCTGTTATGACTAAGTGAAAGGCCACAAACAAAACAATTAAAGTAAGAGCCGCAGTGGAAATAAAGCGCGAAGTAAGAGAAAAATGTCGTAATTATGATTTTTATCATTTTAAGCCGCATATCTATTTTTCTTATTATTAGTGACATTAATCCTATTTAAGTTATTGATAAATTATTTATACATAGTATATTATTGTACTCATGTTCTTATTATTTAAGGCTTGAAGGTGTCCCATACATTTTCAAAGCAATTTATGGTGAGTTTTGCTCATAAATAGAAAACAATGATCCACTAAAATTAGCATTATTATTGTTAATTATTACAACTATTATTCGTTTCACAAACCAGTCTAACAAAATGTGTTGATAGATTGACATGCAGTTCTGAAACGCAAAAGAGTTCCACTCGTTGACAAAAAATTTTAAAATACGCCGAGACAGACGTGATAAGAATACATTTCAATAATATGCAGGATTATATCTTATAGTGGCTATACACTAATGATTCACTTACATTAATTCCTTAATTCTAAATCATGAAAATTGCACAGTATTCCTTTGAAAGTATTAATAGGCCTTTTGAATGAAACGGTTACATGATACTAAATCCCCCATGGATGGGAAAATATGTCAACTTGAATGTTCGAGACAAAGAAACGTTGCCGGGCTGCGTTCCTTCTGTTTCTAAGGTTTACTTTCTTTTCACATCCAGTATGGCGGATTTAGTAACATGTGACAGTTTCATGCCAAAGGTCTAATTATATTAAGCAGTTTCTTATGCATGCCAATCCCAAATCTACCAAATCCCAGTTTGGCATACTATCAAAGTCAGTATTGCCTAATTGGGAATCCCATTCTATTTAATTTTCATTGTTTCTTTCCATATTTTAAATCCAATTTTAGTGGTTGAAAAACTAAGCAATCCCCCATGTCACCTCCTACGCAATATCCGTAAACTGTTCTGTGTTACAAATTGTACAAATTGGTACAAACTACTTTGTATTATTTCATGGTTGTAATATCTTGTGTTTATTAAAATGCATCAAGAAAGAGACGAGACTAGGTGGTAGATCATTGATCATATAATTGCATGTAAGACATTGCGTCAGGGTTGTACCGGAAGGCTAGATTATTAGTTTTGATGGTACTAGTATCAGTTGTACTGCTTGAATATTCATACGAGACTGAAGTTGAAGGAATGCAAGTAAAAAGTAAATCATTTAAAAAAAAAATAAATAAGGATTAAGTACCAAAGAAAATATTAATCATTTAGAACATGTTTCGCTCGCCAATATCAATCAATTCAATATTTTTTTTTCTTGTAAACTAAAAACAGTTTGAGTTTTAAGTTTTAACAGTTATAAATTTACAATCGATATATTCTTTGAGTCTCTCGACTCCCAGTTGTGATATTCCTCAGCTCTTCATGAGTACAACCTTTAATTGTAAACGAATTCTATTCGATTCTTAAAGCGCCGCCTGAGTTTTACACCAAAAACATCTTTATAGWAATGTCTTATCACTTTTCATTGCATTGCAGACACTGGTATTGTGTGAAAACAAACGACTTTTTAGCTTTGAGGTCAAACGTGTGGAAAAGAAACTTTGTACCTGCTATTAATATTGTAATAACCAGCATTATTAAAAACAGAAGTGTGATCTGGATTACGACAATTAATAACGACTCAAACATTGGAAATAACATTGCCAAAAATAGTTATATCAATACCATATCAGCATGTACTGATTTCATTGGTAATTTCTGGAAACGGCATTAAAAAATGTTTTAACCTTATGGTGTTTTGGTGTTTTTTACTTGTAAGTAAGTCTATATTTCCTTTTTACTCAAAAAAGTAATATTTTCACTATTTCATCAGTATTCATGGACAAAACTATAACCAGTCAGATGTTGTCCAAGTCAGCATATAGACTTTTGGCATCGATCTTATCATGATCAACGCGTTTAAGTACAACGCCCATGTATGACTATATACTTACTGCACAAAGGGTTTGTAAATAGTGGACGTGGATAAAATACGACCAGAATCGAAAACACTGCATACGCCGAAGCCATAGTGTGGCTGATGTATACACGTTTAAGTGGCTGGCAGTATATCCATTTATAATACGTCAAATGTCACAAGTCTTTTTATTCATGCTCATTAATAATTAATAGTGGAGTACATGAGGTTTAAGAGCTTGAATTAAGTCGTTTGTCAACAGTGATAACGCGCGTGGTCAAGACTGACGGCAATCTATTTTTACAAAGAAGAGCTTACCGATGCTTAAAAATGGTTAAACAACGTTCATAAATAATCCTTCTTAGATATTTATTGAGTTACAGTGCTGTTTTAAAGCGAAGAGAAACGTTACAACTGAAAGTTTTTGATGAATAACAGTAATTTTCTCTTGCTTTCATCTCAAACAGTTTCTGGTTTCTGATTATAATTTATTTTTTCTGGAATTATAATACAATTCATTGTTGTTGCTTGGTTCGTGCGGTGTCAAAAATGATCACTCCAACGCGCATGCTTGGACTTAACCATGATGATTTACGACGAATCGTCTTATGTGGTTAAAGGATAAATAATGATGTGTGCGCCAAAAAAAAAGGAAAACCGACTATACATTGTTTGGACCCTCTCGTGGGTTATATAATAGCCGATAATCATACACAGCTCGTGGTTTATAGCTTAAAAAGCCAAACGGGAGGCTATAAGTCTCGTTTCAAATCACAGATATGATTTTATCTGGCTTTGGTTAATACGACTGTGTGGTTGTTCAGTCGAAATAGCCCGGTAATGTAAGCATGATGGGACATCTTTGCAAGATTACTATTTTTTTTATAATACTGCGTTGACAATACCAATCAATATATAATCAGATATTATTTCTAATTATATTATATTATTATATTATTATATTATTATATTATTATATTATTATATTATTATATTATTATATTATTATATTATTATTATTACAGCCTTTTTCACAAATTATGAGACATTTTTATATATATAAATATACCTAACCAAATATCAAAAACACCCAAGAAATTATGGGATACCGTCGCTGATATTTTGTCTGTAACAACCTGATGCTAGGCAATCATGACAAAATATAATAGAGATATACCATAATTTCTGGGGTGTTTTTGATATTTGGTTAGGTATATTTATATATATAAAAATGTCTCATAATTTGTGCAAAAGGCTGTATTATTATTATTATTATTATATTATTATTATTTCTATTATCAGATATTATTTCTAATTATGCTTATAGTAGTAAATTATTTATTATTTGTTCTATTATAATATACAATAAAGACTATGAATTATTTACAATAAAAACTGAAAAAAATCAACGTTTTCCACTACGAAGTCATCATCAAAATAAAACTATTCGTGTTCTATTACGTATTGCTAATTCTACGTCCAAATATGCATTATTTATTCATTGTTTGTACGTCAACTTGTTATATACATGAGTTATTAAATTAATGGTCTAGGACCTTTCTACTTGAAGGTCGATGGAAAAGGACAAAATACTTCCTGTGAACGAGTTTGTACGTGCTTAACCAACTTAAACGAGTTTTTAAAAGAGAGTAGTTTTATAGTAATTACGCCTCTCTCATACTACTTCATAATACAGTTTTGGTAAAAAGATAAGTTGAACTCCTACTAAGGATTAACGTCCGAAACGTCAGTAAGTTATTTCAACTTCTTTACGGTGTTCAATTTATCTTTTTACAAAACTGTGTATATATAGTAATGATACCGCTATAAAAACTTAGATTAGTTTTAAAGATAGTGTATTCCTATGCCGAAATGTATCACCGCTATATGAGTTTTTTTTACTTGGTGGCTATATCTGATATGGCCATTTTTTGAAAATAGCTTTATATAGATAGAGTGCAAACACTAAAACCATGAAACATTTGCTAACCAACTATCGCTAAATTGTATGGATTAGATAATAAAAAAAATAGGGTAGGTAATTTTTGAATATTGCAGCTGTCTTTAGTTGATCTAATACATCAAATAAGTTTATTTCCACTGAATTAATGGGCTTTGATGATCATTTTACATCGGTTAGTATGGTACAAAACCCCGGCGCCAACTTGATGGCAATTAAGAATATGTATATGGCTATAAAAAAACAATCTGAGTCAATTAAAGAGAGATGATTTTTGAAGTTGTTTACTTTATCTTAAAGGGACACTGTCAATGGATGACATGCGCAGTAACAGTCTTGYCTCTAACGGACTTTGAARRTATTACCTTCGAGGTAAATCAATGTTTTGACACACTTTGGAATATTCTAGATCCGTTTACGTTTACGAGTACTTTTTTTGTAATTCGTCGCGCCAACTTGGAGTCGTAAACTTGAAAACATTAGCCTAATCTTTTCAAGTTTACTCGCGCATGCGTGCCATTGACAGTGTCCCCTTAAAGCAAAATACGGCTTCTCCTTGGTTAACTATAAGATCATTTATATAGCAATTATATACTTATTTCCATCCTGTATGGCGGATTTTGTACCATGTGACTAATTCATCTGTTAAATAATTACCCACAAGAACTTTCGGTCGTGCGATCATGTTCTGCACTAACAACCTTTTTTGAAACGCTGTATGGAATGCTCAATAATCCAGTTTCGAATTCTCCAATGCTCTGTGTTAGCCTCATTTGTGCACAAAATATTGCTAATTGTGAGAATAAAAGTGTGAGATTTCAAATCAATTTTAATTGTCTTCCTTCTCAAAGTTTATGCGTTTTCTCGCACTATCAATGAACGAGAATATGTTACTTGGTTTTGAGGCTAACACAGAGCAAATCAGAACTCAAAATTGGAGTATTAGTATTTTTAAGCCAACAAATCTTCTTAAATTCTAGTTTCTCGTATTTAAAAACGTGGGAAATGCTAAAATGATGCCGATGAAATGATAGGATGATCATTAATATCATTTCGAGTGCCAGTGACAAATTTATTAGATCTTTCGATTCAACTAGAATTTTACTATGTTTTAGCTGACCACATTGTTTCAGACGTCTTTCTAAAATGCGATTCTTGGCTTTTTTTCAAGTACTATCGTCCATTAGGTCGGAACTACTCACATTGGCCCCTAAATATTTCTATAAAAATAAATACTACAACGTTCCAGACCCTTCTTTTTATATATTCATGCATTTTAACTACTGATTTTCTAACTAAGAAAACAAAAAGAATGCCCGAAAGGAAATAAGCAAGTTAACGCAGTTGGCTTTCTTTCTCATTTCTGCTTAATGACATTTTTCGGTATACACGTTGTAATTGTTTCTTTCGAAGTTTCAGGAAAACCGCAAATGGAAGTCAATCGAAATAGATTATTATGCCACAGTTTGTTATACTAAGCTCATCAAGTTGTACTCTTTTTGTTAGCGAAATCACGCTGGGTTATTTGTCAACAATACAAGGGCAGTAAAAATTCAATATTGTACTGGCCTGTGGAAAGCCACGAGCATGAATAAGAATAATGAACATATTAGCATTTGATTGACCAAGTGACATTGAGCTGTCATAAGAATCAAAAGAAAAGACATTTCAATTAATATTTAACCTCGAAGTATAGCGAGAAAATGATGGTTGAACTTAGCACGTTGAAAGAGAAATAAAAATCCCACTCAAATGAGGCAGTATGAATGTAATGTTTTCATAGATTAGAGAGGTTTATAGTTACAACTTGAAACAGTTGCGTAACTTTTGTCTTTTTTTTTAAGTATTTTCAATTAACAATGAAGTGTCAGTTTCCTGTGAAAACTTAGTGTAAAAGTGCTGTCTGATAGACTGATAGAAGTTAAGGACACTTACCCCCTAAAGACTTAAAACCAAATGATATAGATCCAACCATTAAACACAGAAGAAAGCGGTCTCGTATGCGTTGATCGCGATGAACCATGGCTGTCCTTGGCTTATTATCCTACACTGACAATCTTGTGATGTTAATTTAGTTCCTTGAAATAAAATTAGCATTAGAATATTTCTTTTCAAAAGTTTTAAAAAGTATATTAATCTTATTTTCTGAGTTCTCCACTCTTGGTATACTATGTCCGACAGACTCGTCGATGTGTATTTATATACAGTTTGAGAAGTCACGGAAATAAAATATTAATAGCACTTCCATTGCTCTAAATTACTACTGAAGGTAGTCCCTGGCTGAGCCAATGGTATAAAAAAAATTCCAATTCAATTGAATCCCAGTGGGAGTGATCGTTATTAAAGAACAACAGGGCGACTGTCAGATCAAAATTTGTAATAGCAACTTACAGAAAGTAGAGAATTTGTAATTGTATATGTCTTCGTATTTTGAACATCATATAGAAACCTCAATATATTAAACACGTGATTCTATCGGAAATATTTATAACAAAAAAGGCTGAGAAATATTATCTTTGAAAGTAATAAATTATTATTTATTATTATTATTGTTATTATTATTAAATTTATTATATGATATATTATATAATATAGTTTATGGAGAATGCCTTATTTTAAGTAGATCTAAAACCGTGTTTTAAGTGGAGTGGCTAATCTGTTTTATATTTTCTTTTTTTTTCTCTGTTTTTTAGAGGTTTCCCCAACATACATGGGGTTTCCACAGATCCAAATGATTTCTATCTGCATCTACTCTAGATAAAAGTCGATTTTTTAGCAATTACGAAAAGTAAATTCTTGTAAAAAAAACAAGGTCAAGAACAAATAGATGAAGGAAAAATATTCACTGATATTAAAACTTAAACTTCGTATTTTACCACATGGCATTTCATGTCACATCGTTACATTCGTATATAAAAACAATTAAAATTCTGTTCTATTTGAATACTTAATTAACCATTAAAGGTCTCCAATTACAGGATGTACATAGTTGATTTAAGTTCGGTAAAGAGCTCATTAAAATTCGCTTTCGAGATCTTTCTTTTAATTTAGTTCTTTATGTTTGTGCGGTAAGCATTTGACTTATAAGCATATCCACTTGTAACAGTCACTACCATACAAGGAGTATCATTCAACTCTATCACTATCCTACTATCTCATGCCAAGCAAAAAGAGAAGTGAATGGGAGAGAGTTGATTTTGAACTTCAAATACCACGACGAATTCTCGTATTAGATTGGATTATAATCTTAGCCAGTAGTTAATAGTTTTGATTTATTTCAGTTCATGTTTCTGAATACAAAAATTTGTTTTGCTATCAACAAGGGATTTATTGATTTGCGGAAAATAGTTTCATACAATAAACAACGTTAATATATTATTCATATCATTCACTGAGAAAGCGCGAATTCGCGTTCAATATTTCAAATATTTTAGAAAGACCTCAGATACATATCTCCACAGCTGTATACTAAGTTCTTTGATTAATTTGAGTTCAGTATCAAAGATTCTGAGAGAAAAAATACGTACGGCGAGAGCTTCGTCGGTTTACTGAATTTTGCACGCTCTCAGCATGGGACAGATTGTGTTTACTTGTAGAGCTTATGCCGCATAAACAATCCAACCATCTTAATTTCTCAAATCTCAAGAAATCACGAATTGATTCCAGTAGTTGTTCATCAACTGTATAGAGTTATGACTGGTAATACAAGTCACATAATGCAACTATCAGATATTCTGTTTACTGGAGTGCCTACAGCGAACGAACCAATGTTTTTGTAAAACCAAGAAATCGATTATTATTTGCGGATGTGTGCTCATTAGAAGCGACAAGGGACTTCCGCCCGAGTATTCACATCAAGGCAATCGCTCCAGCTTGGAGGTTAATAGACTTAATATAATAGCGACGCTTTATTTGAAAGCACTGTATTGATCAACTTAATAAGACTTGTATGAAATATCCCCAATATATCGACATAATAAAGTCACATTTGATATTTCGATGTAATCGATATAAAAAACAACCATTATAATGTTGAAGCTTAAAACAAAACGAGCGAAGCGCATAGATAGGTCTTACCAATAAGACCAGGCTACCTTTTCAAGAGCCTTCGGGCCAATTTTGTTTTTTTTTTACTCATGTTTTTAGGGCTTTTTCCTCTACGCATTTATTTAATTGGCGGCCAAGCCCTTTGTTCTAAGGACGGAGATTTTTTTTTGAAAACGGACCTATTTTAATACACTCGCGTCATAAGTGATAGAATTTCAAAGATATGCCTCCAGGCGGGCAACCTGCGGATCATCGTTGCTATCAGGGCGTGGATTTTGGAATTTTTCGTTCTTTTTTCTTTGTGGATCGTAAATACATTCGATTTGGATGCAATACCCTTTTTCAAATATTTCTTCCGCATCGTGTTGGTGTCGAGAAATTGTCAATTAGTTCATGAAAACAATGACATATGAACTGTTTAGGTCTTTATTTGACCTATATATCCTAGCTACAAGGGATTATTTATTTTTTTATACAGTAATATAATTTAGCTTTCAGAATAACTGATTTCCTTCAATCCTAATCTAGTTGACAAATTCTGTAACATCTCTTTATTGAAAGGCACTTTTTGACGTACAATTCAGTTATTCCTTGTAAAAACAGTTCTTATTCGATCACTAATCACACCATTTTATTAATGAAAAGATAACGATTATCTTGTGATGAATAGTTTCTGAAAGGACTGTGATTAACCGGCATCCCTTGCGAGCTTAGTTCATACTTTTTAATAAAATGCATTAAAAAATATCGCAATATAAGAAAAACCTGTGCTTTATGGAGATACAGTAAGATTCGATCTTAAAACTAATTGACATAGAAGTTAAGGAATTCCGAATGTCATTTTCCATATATGAAAAATCTAAAGCACAACCGCATTGAATGCTGGTTAAAGGTCTACTTGGACGAAAATTGCGAAACATTAGAAAAGACTTGGAAATCAAATAGACCTATCCATATGGGTCTAATAATCATGAAGGAACAGATTTCAAGAAGATATTGATACAAATCCTTTATAATTTGGGCAAAAAAATGTTGGAGTAGATGACGTCATTTACTCCATTCTTTTGTTCTTCCATCTTTTGAATCAAAATTTCTCTGATGTGRGAYAATTCCAAAACAAATATTTTYCYGCAATTGTTTTTAATAGATATATATGAGTCATATATTTGTACTGATTGAAGTTTGGAAATAAGGCCATTCCCATGCAAGTAGCACTTTAATCTTAGGTCTTAAATTAAAAATTAAAAGTAGTTAATTTTAGATTTCAAAGTACTCCAAACTCGATCAATAGCCTTGTCGACTAATTGTAATCCCTGTGTCCATACTGCAAAACTCGTAACACTCGTTAATTTTTCATATGGATGCAGGTAATGCATGCTGGGTTCTGCTTCTAATCAAAATTCAAGTTGGCTTCTAATCCAAAGTTTTTTCTTGAATATGATAAACTTTTATCCTCAAGGTCATCAACATCAGTGTCTTGAGATCCCCTTCTGAGGGCTATCCTTTCTAGAACTATCGAGTGCCCAAACTGATTATAGCCAATTAAAAATCAATGACCCAATGTTAGTTCCCATCCTGCCACACCGTCGACTCCAAGAGATTCATATAGCATTAAATTAGACTTGATAACATATGGAGAATTAGTACTGTGGATCTAGAACTAAAATTTATAATAACTCTGTTGGAATACATTTATTTGTCGGTACTTAAATTAAAATATCAACGAGTTGAACAATGAGTTTTTTTGCCTTTATTATTACTTTGCGTTGTCAGATCGTTTGTTGTATTAATTGGAAATTCAGTCAGCAGGCATCTGATGAAATTCCTTTTATATTTTGAATAGATCGTTCGTGAACTTAATGAAGTTGGGCTCGAAAAATCATAGTATTTTACAAGAAGTAAAAGCCACAGTAAAAAGGCCCTGGAAGCTTTTTTCGAAAACATAACTGGTGATTCAAATAATTCTGTTGATAACTGATAAATTCTCAGTTTTCAAATGCAAACCATTTAACAATTTCATCTATATAATAACGTAAAATACTCCATTTTATATGCTAGGTCTATAATGTGTTTTAATAGTGTTCGACAAAGGCTTTTAATCGGAAAATACCCACTTATCTGAAGCATAAGAAAGAAAATTGGCAAAAAGACGTTTCTCGAATGTTTTTTGTAAACAATACTAAGTAATTGCGTAAAAATTGAAGAAATTGAACAAAATGAAGAAAATTGTTATTACAGAGCATACCAATTTGGGCTCCCTGTTCTTTTAATGACGCCATAAAATTGTTTGACTATCCAATGTCGAGCTATTTCGTTCAGTTGAAGACAAAACATGGCTCATATAATTACGATAAGATCATGTTTTTCTTAAAGAATCCTGAAAACTTTCAGTAATTATGCAAATGCTTTCAATGATTGAAAACGAATAGTTTTAGAACCAGCTAGTATCTATGGTTCTTGACAACCTGATCACTGATGATAACAACTTGTGGATCTTTGATAATCGTATCAAAACTGTGAAAAGTAAATACTAACGGAAAAAAAAACTTCTAGCAATTAAAACTATACCTAAAGAACGTTGCTAGAGTCCTTTTAGCTTCTAAGATGACCAATTTCTCAAGTGTTATTGCCTCAGGTACGATTTTAATTCACTTAAGACGTTTTAGATGGCGCATAAGCAATTGCAGGATTAAATTCCGTTTATATCATCGTATTTCAGTGTTTTAAAGGGGATTCTTAGAAAAAAAAAATATTAATTTCAGTCATTATCTTCGCAATGAAACGGGATCACAAATATTTCTCCATCAGGTGGTGTTATAGTTTTATTAATAAATAATAATATTTATATCCATTTATGATACTGACCCCCATTGAGATCTCCTCGAGGTGCTTTTAAAAGGACAAAATAAAATTAGAAACCATGAAAAATTYAAAGAACTGTATAAGTTTGTTCAAACTGGATTTATGATAATCAAAACCGATTTAGTCAATAAAGCCATTTTTTTGCAATCATTGCCAAAACGTTGAATGTGAATTATAATAACATAGAGAAGAACAGTTTTCATTGCATATTCAGATGTTTTGTAGGTTAAAAATATCATATCGGGCGTCCTTACAACACAACTAACATGACAGGGAGAATAGACTGAGTCTCCCTCGGCTATATGTGTTTCACGGAAGGTTAAAAATTCGCTGTTCTATGGCATATGATTAGGACGGTACTATGAAGCCGATATTACCGCGACATAGGCAATATCACTTAATTATCCAGATATACMTGCCTGATTTCAAGGTTCCAACAGTTCATAGATATGCCTTCTTGTTTAAATAAATGGCGTAGAATTGTTTTAATCTCTCTTAAGGCTGATTTACACGGTACGATGTGTCGCGCGCGACTTGTAGTATACGATTTTCCTACTACAAGTCGTAGGATTTTAAGCAGTGGTTCAAAATCCTACTACAAGTCGTAGGTTGCGTACGACTGTTGTAGACAAGTCGTAGGGGCATTTACACTGCGCGATTCAAGTCGTATACTACAAATCGCACGAGACAATCGTGCCGTGTAAATCAGCCTT